GCAGTGTCAGTGCTATGGGGGTGCTGGGTGAGGGGGTGCAGTGTCAGTGCTATGGGTGAGGGGTGCAGTGTCAGTGCTATGGGGGTCCTGGGTGAGGGGTGCAGTATCAGTGCTATGGGTGAGGGGTGCAGTGTCAGTGCTATGGGGGTCCTGGGTGAGGGGGTGCAGTATCAGTGCTATGGGTGTGATCAGTGCCGTACGGTATGGGGTCTGGCATCTCAGCCCGAAGGTCTGTATAATGGGGGGGATATCACTGTCCTGTACTCTGAAGCTCCAGGTTCTGACCCAGTGGTGGGTGAAGAGGGAATGAGGTAGTTGGCAAGGGCTGTGCGGTGAGTTGGTCGGGGAGGGATACGCTGTGAGCGGGTAGTGCGTAGGTTGAGGAGGGATGTGTGCAGATGAGAGGGCCGGATAGGATCCAGGGACAGATGTCTGGGAGAGGGATGAGGGGGCCAGGGACAGATGTCTGGGACAGGGCCGAGGCGCCGTACATTTTGTTGGTTTTCGCTCGGTCTTCTCATACAACTGCTCTGTTTGAATATGGGATGTATGTATGAGAACTGATAAGAGCCGGGTCACCATTAGTGGACATCTTAGTAACAAGAGATACAATGTAACAATTCTAGAGACCAGATAAATGTAACCATTACTACTACCGCCTTCCCTTAGGTCTCGTTCACACCTAGGCGTATTGCATATGCGCGACCGTCGCGCGTTTTTTTTACTGCAAATCGCGGTAAAAAAAGTTGCGCGACCGTCACGCGTTTCCGAAGGCTACTTGGCTGTAGCCCAATGGAAACGCGCAACAAAACGGCCCAAAGTAGTACCTGGACCTTTTCAGGCGTGGGCCGTTTTGCAGCACGTTAGGGACGGGCGGAAATACGGAAAGGTGGGAACGAGGGCATTGAATACAATGGGATTTATATTTTTGAGCGTTTTGTAGAGCGTTCGTCGAGCGTAGAACGCGCTACAAAACGCTCAGGTGTGAACGAGGGCTAAGGGTTCCATCATTCACCGTTGGTGCGATTAGGTGACATCTAGAATGAACGGCACCCACTGCACACTAAAGGCGACGGACCTGCATTGCAGCGCTCCGCAGATTGACGCGCTACCGTGCTTGTGCTTCCATTCGTAGGGATAAGAGGGTCAGGTCTGGTATATTGGCAACAAATTTAGAATTTGTGTTTCCTTAATGCAGGGATAGGCAATGCAATCTTAGTGTGACGGTAATGAGGTCTGGGCACCCCAAAACTAATTAGGAAACTGTCGCCCACCTCAGTTTGTTTCAATTCCTCACTGCCAGACATAATTCAATCCAGACTGCCCTTTATACAGATGTTTTTTTTTGTTTTTTTCAAGACAGTCTTTTTAAAAGGAGAACTATGAGGCGAGTGAAAATCACTCATCCTCATAGTTCTAGCCGACCTGTGACAATGAAACTGTCACACGTCAGCTCAATAGATCGGGAAGTGAGCAAACACATACCGTCGCTCGCTCACTTCTCGATCATCTCCCTGCAGAGAGCCGTGACTGTCACTCACGGCTCCCTGCAGGGATTCCCCTCCTCCCCTGTCTGATCTTCCAGCACTGACTGGCGGGGGCGGGTACAGCTGTCTCTGCTTCTAGATAGGCAGAGCCAGCTGTCAATCACGCAGCTGGGTGGATCTCGACAGTAATGTCAGAATCCGTCCCGGCCGTGGCGGTCTCAGTATACCGCGAGCTGTAGCTCCCCATATACTGAGCTTTGGGTCACGGGATGACGCTAGTATATGTCCTCCTGTGACACTTAGAACTATGGGGGAAAAACACTGACCCCATAGTTCTCCTTTAATAACAAATATATATAAAATGAAGTCCTGGTCACGTACATACTAAGCATCCCTGACTTAGGAGGTACAGAGGGCAAAAGACACACATTACCCCTTCTGAGGGAAGCATACACCCCACAGGTATGTGTACAAAGCTCATTGCATAACGTGCAATGGTCCATGGTTTATCAGGTGGGTACATAAAAATATGGCTGCTTGTGTGAAACAGAAATGATGGGGGGGCCAGGTGAGGGATCATAAAGCGCTTCAACCCTCCTGTCTCACCTCCCTGGGCCTTTCTGATTGGGTGAAGGCTGACTCAGTGACACACGCTAGGAGGGCCAACAAAAAGCTGCTGCAGGAGGCCGCTGCAGCTCTTGTATTACCATCAAGAAAAGTGGAGCTCTCAAGAACAGGACCTTTGCCAAATCGTACGGGGGGGGGGATAGAACATCTTTGGGATGAATTAGAGCGGAGACTGCGAGCCCGGCCTTCTCCTCCAACATCAGTACCTGACCTCACAAATGGTCCAACATTCCCATAGACACACTCCTAAACCTTGTGGGCGCCTTCCCAGAAGAGGCGGAGCTTTTATAGCGGCAAAGGGCGGAGCCAACCCAATACTGAACCCTACGGACTAAGCCTGGAGCGCCATTAAAGTTCATGTGCGTGTAAAGGCGTCCCAATACTTTTGGTAATATAGTGTGTGTGTGTATATTATTTGCCCTGAAGGCTGTGGGGGGTCATTCTGAACCTTTGCAGCTAATATATATAAAACAACAAAACTGCTGAGTACTCATCACGTGTCAGCTGACCTACAGAGAAAAATAAAATAGAAACAAATAAAATCTTTATTATATTAATGTTTCCGGACAGAATAAAAGCTGTTCAATCACCAGGTAAGTTTGTTACACGTGTGAAAATAAATCGGCTTCCTGTACAGGACAGCTTTGAAATGTCTTCGCACCGTTTGCATTTAAAGAGTGTGCGTGCGTTACACATGCGCAGATATACCCATGCAAATCACATCTGCATAGTCCATGCTCCATCTCCAGTTCTGTAAACAAATCAATCGGCCACATTGTATTATTGTTCGGCTCCGCGGTCCGTTACCTCGTGCCGCCTCCCTACGCGGTCGCCATTTTATCCCTCTAGCCGGAGCCTCTACAGATCACAATCCTCAAAATCTAGTACGGCGAACATGTAAAAGTCAGTCAGATATTACTCTCAGAAAAACATCATAATAACTTAAAATGGATACCAACTGAAAACAAAAATCACGACATGTTGCGCTATTTAGACACAATCTGGACAACGCAATTTAAGATCTATGGAAACCCAAAAATTAAAATGTTATAAGATCGCAGCGGCCTGGTCTTTAGAATTGGCGGCTGTGTTACAGTTCAGTCTGTTGGTTGGTTGCCTAATCAATACAAGTTCACAGGGTGACAACACCAAAGTTATCTCACTGCAGAAGAAAGAGGGTTGTCACCTTGATCAAGGAAGTGGAAAAATCAAAGCGATCTACTGGCAGGATCTAAACTGTTAAGGAAAACATTAGCTTTACTGTAAGTACGGGCAGCTGAGGACACCTGCATATAGTTCCGATCAGGGCCCCAGCACCCCAAGCACCAACTTCAGGAACTGAACCGACAGAAATCCAGTGTCCTTCCTGTGTAATTTACTAAAATCTCAAACAGTGTTCCTAAAATGACTTCCCTCCTCCCTATGTATTGGAGAGTGAGAGGAGATGTTTGTTGTCCCAATCAGGTGAGCAGTTTAGAGTGACAACGTGGCTCCTCCAGAGATAAAATTCAAAGCGTTGTCACCCTAGGACAGGCAGTGGGTCATTGTCAGGATCACCACAGAAGAAACAAAGTCCGAGGGTACTTCACACCATATGCAGTGCGTGCCGGTCCGTTTCTGGCTTGCATTACGGCCGGCTCACTTTGTCGGGCAGGAGGGGGCGGGCTATGGAAGTGAATGGCACCGTAGCCACGCCCTCTGGCTGCAACGAGATCGCCCGCACATTGCGTCTGCAGTCCGATCAAAATAGTGGCACAATGTGCCTTGCGATCCCGTGCGGGCGATCGCATTGCGGCTGGAGGGCGTGGCTACGGTGCCATTCACTTCAATGGCCCGCCACGCCCCCTCCGGCCCGACAAAAAATTGAGCCGGCCGCAATGCGAGGCAGTGCGTTTCCGGCCAGAATCGGAACGCACTGCATCTGGTGTGACCGAGGCCTGAACGCAGCCGCCACATCTAAGGAGCTGCAACATGTTACATTCTTGTATTTGGATACATTTTAAATGAAACTCTGTGTACTTGTGCAATGTCTACAATCTCTGAGCACTGCGATTCCCTCCCTCCTTCCGGGTGAGGGATGAAATAAGATGCTGCAAGGGCACAGCAGATCGCTAAGTGCGGCGGGATCGGCTGTGCGCTACAAGACGTCGGCTCGAAGTCTGCACAGGAAGCGGGAAAGCCAAAAGATCCTTTCTTGCAACAACGTAGCTCCTTAAAGCGCACGTCCGAGCAAAATAAAAAATCAAACATTCAGCACATCTCTGCAATACCGAGACGTTTTCCCCCGGGGTATATCCCTTTAACAAAAAAGAGGCAAGTACGGAAAAATACCTGGTGATCCCGCCAGAAATCCAGTGAGCCCCCCCAACTTCCTGTCATGAGCTCCTTAAAGGGCAATTCCACTCTCTCACCGGATGGAAGGAAATGGCATTCCCCCCACCGGTCTTACCTTGGATGGAACGGCCATTCCCCTCATGCTTCATTCCTCCTCCAATCGGGAGTGCTTCTCGTTGGTCAGGTGACCATGCTGACCAATGAGTGCTCGCCCTTTGTGACTGTAATTTGAAATACTGTGTATGAATCGTACGCCGGCAGCCATGGAGGGGAACGGCCGTTCAATCAAAGGGTAAGACCAGTGGGTGGGAGGAGGAGAGGGGGCAGATTGTGGGGGGGAGGGGGCGATTCCATTTTCTCACATTTGGTGTTGTCAGATTGGAGTGGGTGATTTAACATACCCTTTAACATAATAGGGGAGTGTTTTGTAGTTCAGCAGGGAAGAAGAACTGCGCAGGGCTGACAATACTGCCTCTGCTGCACTGAAATCCCAACCGGTGGTGTCAGCCCTGGCCAGTTCTTTCCTGCTGCACTCCAAAAACACCCCCCGTTTATGTTAAAGGGTAATTCCACTTTGGAAAATGGATCTGCCCCCACCCGCTAGGTTTCTGTAGTAGAGCAGATGAGAACCGGGCAGGGCTGACAACAGTTTGAGATTTCTGTGCAGCAGAGGCAGCGTTGTGACCACACTACAGGAAGTTAGGAGCTGACTGGACTTCTGGAAGGGTCAGCAGTGTTTATAACGAGATATCACATGGGATATTGCCCATGTGTTGGGGAGATGTATTGCGTATGTTTTCCTGATTTTGCCCCGACGTACACTTTACAACACGACGGCCATGTGAGCCGGGTTTTAGCAGCGGGATACCGGAGCCAGGCGTATGCTCATGGAGTCACTACGTGATTGCTTTTGCAGTCTCTTCTCTATAGTGCGCCGTCTCTGTAAACAGTATGTTGTTGGGGGTTTCGGCTAATCGGCCCAACTCAAGGCACCGGATTGTGGCATCAATGACCGGCAACACACTGGGGGACGTCTCGAGACGGGACCAGGCGTACGGGCGACTCCGGCAAAGTGCATCTCGTGGGGGAGGAGCCGTCCCCTCCATCATTGCATGGCGCAGCCGCTGTGCGGCAGGGAGTCCTGCAAGGTGAGAGCCACCGATTTGGAGAGGTAGGTCATTGTGCCAAAGCGGCCACTGGGGGCGCTGTCGTACAGCAAGCAGCAGATTCCAGTTCCGGGGTCGACTTTTAACATTTCGTCATCTGCGCCGAGAGCTTTCTGCAAAGAGGGAAAAACGCATAACGTTAGATCAGACATAAGAGATGAGACAGGGTTATGGAGACTGAAAAGGGGTTGATGGAGATAGAGGAAAGGGTTATGGAGATGAGAAAGTTGATGGAGATAAGTAAAGGGTTATGAAGATGGGGAAGGGGTTGATGGAGATAAGGAAGGGTTATGGGGTTGATGGAGATGAGGAAGGGTTATGGGGATGGAGAAGGGGTTGATGGAGATAAGGAAGGGGTTGATGGAGATGGAGGAAAGGGTTATGGAGATGAGAAAGAAGTTGATGGAGATATAGAGATGAGGAGGGGTTATGGAGATGAGGAAGGGGTTATGGAGATGAGGAAGGGGTTGATGGAGAGATGGGAGGGGATATGGAGATGAACCAAAAGGAGATGAGTACTTAGATGAGATGAGAACGCTAGAAGTACATTATATTTCTGGCACATCAACAGTTATTGTTCTCTACCTGCAGTGTGTATAAAAGGTCTAAAACTGGGGGAAATGTGGATTTATTCCAGCGATTTCGCCTTGATATACATTTTAAACAGCGACTAGTTGCGTCACCATCCTGGCTACACAGTGTGGCAGGAGCTAGCAGATGACTAGAGGGGCTGGATGGACTAGAGGGGCTGGATGGACTAGAGGGGCTGGGTGGACTAGAGGGGCGGGATGGACTAGAGGGGCTGTGTATGTTGGTATGAAGCTTTATAAAAAGACATCTAGTTCACAGACATTAACATTGGCGTGCGCGTTGCGGTCGCCTGTACACACAGTCATGAATCGGGCCGTCATATGTTATACAGAAGATGGGAGACGTAGAAAACACGCAGCGGAGAGAACGGCTCATCACCTGCTCTTGACAGAAAAGCTCATTAGCAATGCGAACAATCTTCTCCACATGGATGATTCCCCCCACGCTCTTTATATCCACCTCAGCAAACATGGTGAGGACCAAGATGGCCTCCACCAACAGCTGCCGGTACTCTGGCTGAGGCACGCGGTTTAAGACGGATTCCACATTGGCGGAAAATTTCAGCTCGCCGGGCGTCATCTGTAATCAGCAAAATGCAATCAAATGCACAACAAAATTCCGGACACCAACGGCTTAAAGAGACCCTGTCACCACACTTTCCCAATACAGTTATACACTATATTGCCAAAATTATTGGGACGCCCCTCCCAATCATTGGATTCAGGTGTTCCGTGACATTTCCTGGCTACTAAATATTCCGCGGTCACCTGTTACTGGGATTATAACAAAGTGGAAGCAACTGGGAACAACAGCAACTCAGCCAGGAAGTGGTCGGCCACGTCACATGACAGAGCGGGGGTCAGCACATAGTGCGCAGAAGTCGCCAACTGTCTGCAGAGTCAATAGCTACAGACCTCCAAACTTCGTGTGGCCTTCAGATTAGGAAGGGGTTATGGAGATGAGGAAGGGGTTGATGGAGAGATGGGAGGGGATATGGAGATGAACCAAAAGGAGATGAGTACTTAGATGAGATGAGAACGCTAGAAGTACATTATATTTCTGGCACATCAACAGTTATTGTTCTCTACCTGCAGTGTGTATAAAAGGTCTAAAACTGGGGGAAATGTGGATTTATTCCAGCGATTTCGCCTTGATATACATTTTAAACAGCGACTAGTTGCGTCACCATCCTGGCTACACAGTGTGGCAGGAGCTAGCAGATGACTAGAGGGGCTGGATGGACTAGAGGGGCTGGATGGACTAGAGGGGCTGGATGGACTAGAGGGGCTGGATGGACTAGAGGGGCTGTGTATGTTGGTATGAAGCTTTATAAAAAGACATCTAGTTCACAGACATTAACATTGGCGTGCGCGTTGCGGTCGCCTGTACACACAGTCATGAATCGGGCCGTCATATGTTATACAGAAGATGGGAGACGTAGAAAACACGCAGCGGAGAGAACGGCTCATCACCTGCTCTTGACAGAAAAGCTCATTAGCAATGCGAACAATCTTCTCCACATGGATGATTCCCCCCACGCTCTTTATATCCACCTCAGCAAACATGGTGAGGACCAAGATGGCCTCCACCAACAGCTGCCGGTACTCTGGCTGAGGCACGCGGTTTAAGACGGATTCCACATTGGCGGAAAATTTCAGCTCGCCGGGCGTCATCTGTAATCAGCAAAATGCAATCAAATGCACAACAAAATTCCGGACACCAACGGCTTAAAGAGACCCTGTCACCACACTTTCCCAATACAGTTATACACTATATTGCCAAAATTATTGGGACTTCACAAATGCTCCAACATTCCCATAGACGCACTCCTAAACCTTGTGGTCGCCTTCCCAGAAGAGTTGAAGCGGTTATAGCGGCAAAGGGCGGAGCCAACCCAATACTGAACCCTACGGACTAAGACTGGGATGCCATTAAAGTTCATGTGCGTGTAAAGGTGTCCCAATACTTTTGGTAACATAGTGTATGTAACATTTATTGTGCGTTACTCCCAGACTGCTACTGTGCGCATCCATCTTGGAGGTGATGCCAGCAGCCCTAGAGCTGTCACTCAAGTGACTCTCTATAGTATTCCCCTTCCCTCTACTGGCAGCCAAATACCAGTATTGAGTGGACCGACACCATGCAATGTTAGAATACCTCTCGTGTGCTAGAAGAAGGCAGGACAAACCCTTCCACGGACAATCCATGGCACTGAAATACAAATATTGAACAGTTGAGAGACTCGAGAAGCTCAATGGACCCTTCCTGTACCATACACAATGTGTGTAAGAGCCTCACCTTTTGCAAAATTGACCAAACCTTCTGGTAGAAGCCAACTGGCACCCTGTTCAAAGCCCCATCCAGCCTCCTTCTGCGGAGCCACTGCCCCTGTCGGCTATCGTAGGCACTATCGTCATCGGAAGAGGTGAAGACATCACCGGGTACAGAGAGAGTGTCGCTGCGTCTCTGAGGAAGGAACGGGGGAGTCGTATAAGCAAAATAAAAGTCATTTAGGCATTACTGTACTTTGTTATAGTCCCCCTCCCCCCCCAATCCTTCCAGTCATTAATCGTTGATGATCTAAGCTGCCTTCTTTAGTGGTTGACCATCGAAGGTCCACAGCCGGGAGGGCTCCCATTGGTTTTTTTCTTTCACTCATATGGGGATTGATCTCCATTTATCACGATGGAGGGGCCCATCTACCCCAAAGGTGGATCAACTCTTGATTGAAAAGAGTGGAGAGTTTGTGAATAGTCTGGGCTGGGAAATACTGCAGTGGTGGCTTCAGAGTGAAGATCTCCAAGGAGCAAGGACCGCTGAGTCCAAGACTTGAGTTGGTCATACACCGAGATTGGACTATTTTAGCCTCATTGGCTGAGTGAGAAAAAAAACGATTGATTTCCTGATCCACGTCAACAGTGTGGATGGCAGAATCCAACCCACCAGTCACCCTTCAAATTTTCGGACGGCCCTCTTTGACAGATCAGCTGAAATAGACTTTTGTGGAATAGGGTTGTCCTGACGGGGGGCTCTCACTGGGCAGTCAGCAGTAATTAGCCGAAATCCAACAGGTGTACGGCCATAGGATGTGTGTTTGGGGGTCGGTGGAAGTTATTCAAAGCTAACATAGTAACCCCCCCCCCCCCCCCCAAACACTCT